CTCACCGACTTTTAGTTTGTGTCCTCTTACAACACTGAGTGCAGGTTTTCCATTTCCTTTAACGCACCCAGGACACGCTCGGCATCTCCTGAGAAGAGCTGGAGGCGGCGGCTGGACCGAGAGAGTCTGGGCGTTACCTGAAAGTTGGCCCAAAATGCTGACTCGGAAGTAATTTGATTACATGTAAATTTCCCGTGTAATTTTGTCAAATGAAAAACACAAAATTGAATTAAATCTAATCAATTGGCAATTATTTGACATCAAAGAGAGCTTTGTATGACCCACAGTGCAAAATGAGTTCATCATCCCGAGCTAAAGTAACTTTAAAATACCTTAATATTGGCTTTTATCCATCAAAACTAAATGCACTGCACAGTTTTTGTTCACCACATGTTGTTTTAATACCCAAATATCTTTGGTTAAAGACCATCTTGTGTATTTTAGGTAAACTGGAACCCTTTAACTCAACCCATTTCTCTTTATTAACCAAAATATAAAATAATCATAATAAATGTCACCCCATATCAAAACAAATGAGCAGTAAAAATCACTCACAACGCGTGCAGTTCATCTAAATAAAAATCATTTAATTTTCATTAATATTAATATTATTATCATCGTCATCATCATCATCATTCTATCTAGAGAGAGTCCACCATGCCACGTTCAGATCTGGAGTAGTGCTAAGATGCCTGTCTGTCTGAAGGGGGAAGAGGGTGGGGAGGAAAAAACAGGAAGGAGACAGACAAGTTAGGGTCGGGGGCGGGACCTGTACAGGTTCACGCTCCTGTTCATTCTCCATGCTGATGCAAACAAAGAGGGGGCGCTATAAAGGAGGGCTGGACAGAAAGAGGAGGAGGAGGGACTGAATTGTAGTTTGTCTTCACTGGCCAACATGAAACTGAGCTGTGAGGACAGAGACCAGCTGAGGGGGACAATGGGTGGAGGGGGTGGAGCAGCTTCAAGCTCACTGGTCAGGTCTGCTGGACAGGGAACCAGGACAAGCCAATCACAGACTGATACAGAGGAGGAGGGTTTATGTATACACGTCTGCATCTGTGTTTGTACATGTAGAGGTGTGCTTGCACTGATGTGTGTATCTGTGAGTGTGTAACTGGTCAGAGTTACTTTGATCCATTGTCACTGTACACTTGTCAAAGTCACTGTCACAACCGGGTACAAAGTTGAGGTAACAAACTTCTTTTTCCGCTTCTGTGAAGAGAGACAAAGAACGAGTGAGAGGAGTCGAATCAATCAAAGCAGCAACTCACGGACGTTTCGCTTCCAGGCTTCGTTAAAGCAGAAGACACGGACATCATCAGGGAGTTATCGATGTATAACAAACATAAACACTGGTGTTGTGCTGATAATAAAGCTGTAACACGAGGATTTCATCGTTTGTAAAACCACACTGACAGCACGCTGCAGTTAGCTCATTCGTGACGGGCAGCTGTAGCGCCAATACCTGTCGCCTTCCACTTTCTGTTTCCGAGCAACAAGGAAATGAGGCACCTTCACGGAGCTTCACGATTGGCAGCTTTTATGAGGATGCCATTAGCTCACCGCATGCCAAATTAAATCACGATATGCTCATTATTGATAACCAACTTGGACTTTTCACACTTAAATTCATTCTTGCAGACACCTGGATGAAACCTGACAATTAGGAGAATCTGAATTTTTGACCGAAACACTTTGTAAGACAATACCAATTCCTAATTAGTTACATATTTATCTGATTCTGAGGCCTACTACATGCTCTCAGGTCATCCTCCACCCCAAACGAGTTGCTTTAGTCCACCTTTTTCAGACGCTGACATCACACAGAGCCAACCTGAGCCTTTCGCTCCTGGGGATTATCCTTGTGCAAACTCCTTGTTACCTCATTACTGAAGATTTTGGCCACGTTTAATGTGTGCATCCACCTTTTTCAGCTAATTTTGGATATGGCGGTAAAAGCACAGTGAGTTTATAAAGGGGTTACTATTGCAAAAAAGTAATTAGATTACTGTTACTTTCCTGTAAGCACGTTGCGTTACTAAACTGTGATTTTGTTTGAGAGTGTCTCATGACAACAACAGCGTGCGACGTCCGTGGCAGCAACAAACACGCGTGTAGATCAACAATGGATAATATGGAGTGTGGTAAACAGTACAACCGTGCAGCGTTTAAAGCTTGGAAGTACTAACAATACTTTGAGTTTGATTCCGTAATAAGTGACAACATTAACATCCGCTGTACACTCTGCGTGGGAAAAAACGTCTTTCTACAGCGAAAAATTTAACTTAAAATCTGAGCACACGTGAAAACTTCATCTGATTATTGTTTGGACTTCTGTGTGTGCTTTCAACTCCTCACTGATGAGCTCTGATGATGTTCTTTAAGCCGTTACCCGTGTTTCATCGCGCTGTAGTGTTGCCACTGGAAACCATGTTGCTGTCAGAATTCGACAAAGACTGCTCCTTCACTACAGGGTCTGCAGGAGCGAGGGGAAAGAGAACCATGTTTAAAAACCAGAATATCTCTGAGAATAATAGATTTCCTTTTGATTTAGAGTCTTTAAACCCAAAAAACCTACAGAAGTAGGGGTGCTCCATGGCCTCTGTGGCGGTCAGTCTCTGTTGGTGATCGTATCGTAGCAGCTTGTCCAGCAGGTCCAGAGCTTCGGGGCTCACCAAGTGCTGATTCTCCGTCTGCACAAACTGTTCCCAGCGCTTCCTGCTCTGCCTGCAGACAAATG